ATTGGACAAATGGCCCTCTCAAGGCCTTAACTGGACAACAATGTTCCAGATTGGACAAAAGGCCCTCCCAAGGCCTTAACTGGACAACAGTGCTCCATATTGGACAAAAGACCTTCCCAAGGCCTTAACTGGACAACTGTGCTCCATATTGGACAAAAGGCCCTCCCAAGGCCTTAACTGGACAACAGTGTTCCAGATTGTACAAAAGGCCATCCCAAGGATTAAACTGGACAACAGTAACAATGTACATTATACAAATAACATTTATACATAGCAGATAGCAATGTATTTACTATTGTACAGGTAAAAATGGCCAAAGTGCTTATAGTTGTGTGGCAAAACAATGCCTGTATATATGTATAGAAGTGTTGGAAAGTAAGGAAGTATGTTTCAAGTAAATGACCAGTTTAACAACAGTGTTGTGAAAGTACCCTTAGCTTCCCACAATGTCCACAGACCACAACAAACAACATTTTTAGAATTGTGTAGGGAAGGTTGTTGGGGAGTTGAAGGGGGTATTTTTAACAAGGTGTATGGTTGTGAAAACTATGAAAGAAAACAGTCACTCTATCAAAAGTAACAACTTGTAGCACAGTAATGACTTTAATTCACAATAACTGAACTTGTCATATATGTAATACAAAGTTTTGTATTGTTGCCTATTTCAGTCAGTTGTTTCCTTTATTTCAATAATTACTGTTTATGCTTTAGCCAGATGTGTTCAAAGGCAGTAGCTAAGCTATATTTTGTATCCTTACGTTTAAGTTGGGTATGAGATGACAAGCTTTCATGATGTCCTCATCCTTAGTTTCACACAATAATACAGATACAGTATGACATGGTTGGGCACAGTGATCTCAGGTGTAACATCTTGTATGCAGAGTTAAGTCCCTTGCATAATTTGCCAAACCATTGCTAGAGTATGTAGATTGAGAGTATGAAGAGTCTACCCATTCACCTTCACAACCATTCATTGAAATGGTTTAGATCTACAACCTGCAGGCCTTTCTTCAACATTCTGTGCTGTGAAGCAGCCTTGTGGTACATTACCCTGCATGAAAGGGGAGGTGTTCAGATGATGTAAATATTCATCATTTTGTTACTTACAGTTATTTGTATGCATTTCACAATGGCTGCAGTATTGTTGAAGGGCATTAAGATTACATTTTTCTTTCCTTTAGAATAAAACTACTTAGGTTAATGGTAAATATGTTCTACTATTTATTGTTTTCAGCAGTTGCAGCTTTAGCCACACTGATTTAACACTTTCTTACTGGCGTAGTTCATATACTGGTTTAGAAGCATCTATACATTTTGTATTCAGCACATACCGGTATACAATATCAGCAACATAAATGTGTTATTGTACAATAAGCAACTCCTTGTCCTTGTTTATATCTTACATATAATGCAGCCACTATTAGTAAAACTGGCTCATGTAACATTTACTGAATGACATCACTGGTAGCAGGCAGTTGCTTACTTGTAAGAGTTTTGTTGGGGTGGGTTTATCTGCCACTCAGTTGACTTACAGTTGTGCACAATCCACAGAATTTCACTTTCAGCAAATGAGCGGACACGATCGATCATATAACCGTGGGTAGCTGCTGGTATCGGGTACCTTATGTCCTCTCCAGTTGTGTTGAGGATGTTGTTGATTTAATGAAGGTAGTACTTACTGATCTGGTTAGACAACACACAAGTCCAGAAGAATCACATCATTGGATTTTCCCAACATTTGGAATAAAAGGCCATAGAGTTTCTTATTTGGGATTAGATGCAGAGGGCTTTCAAATGATGAGCTCTTAATGAGCTGTTGTTATGTTTACCTGTTTAAGGGAGCAAGCTTTTGATGTGGTTAAGGACGTGTTCAGTTAATTCATCAACATCTGAAGGGTGACCTGTGTTCAGACATGGAGAGACCATGCTTTGTGTAAAAACAGGCCAAGATTTTGACATGATAATTTGACAGACAATGAATTGGTTGTGTTCTGCTTTATAAGTTATGTGGATCCACAAATGCTTTGTCACCAGTGTTGTTGCTATCATTCATAATAATATAAACCATCACTGATCCCCTACTGTGCAATCTCATCAAGTTTAGAGCAAGCATGTCAAAGCCAGTTTAACATCCTTGACTCTCCAACAAATTAGGGTGGGTGAGTTGGGTTTGTAGAGTACCCCCACACAAGAATGGATTAGACAGCAACAAAATGATCAACAACTGCTTACATCATTATATATAATTGTTGCGTAAAGTCAGCACAAGGCAGTGAAAATCATGTATTATCAGTGTTTTATTAATCATCTCTATCATAATTTACAATGTCTGAAAAATCATCGGTTTTGCTGAAAAAAGAGCAAGCAAATATTATTTGCAATTTAATTTAATTTAATTTATTCTAAAAGATCTATGGCGTTCTACAGCAATGACTGTGGGTTGTTTTATGCATTTGCAATTTTTATGTCATTATTGTATGTTTTCTTCAAAAAGCCGTATTTGACATGTGGAAAGTTAAGAGTTCAAATGTACTTGCCTGTCTGTTAAGAATGAATCCAATATTAAAGATGCGTCAACAAGACTGTTAATTGTTGTGTTTCATTGAAGCTGTTATGGTGTGCCAAAGGGCTTCTGTACAGCACCATAGTTGAAATCAAGGCAGACAAGATGATGAAACCATTGTTCAATCTACATCCCATCCTATGAAGCAATATTTGACTCGTGTTTAAAACATGATCAATTGTCAGCTCTAAGTCCAATCAAAACAAGTTTAGACATACACATATTCTATTCAAAACAATATGTCTTTAAGTCGTGCTTCTCTCAAACAAGACAAGTCATCAAGTTGACTCATATTCATCTACATCCATATTTCACCATATTTTAGTGCATGCATAAGTGTGAGGCTTGGGACATGAATGAAGACAGAAGTGAGTGAGTGATGTTAGTTTTACACAGCTTTTAGCAATATTCAAGCAATATCACGGCTGGGGACACCAGAAAGGGGCTTCACACATCGTACCAATGTGGGGAATCAAACCCGGGGCTTCAGCATGACAAGTGAATGCTTTAACCACTAGGCTACCCCACCGCCCTGACAGTCAAAGTAAACTTAAGGTCAATATTATTCGTTACACTGCTATACTGAATCTACCAAGCCCTAATAGAAGGTCGCGTTAGCTAACCTTTGAGAAGCCTATGACCCTCTAATCAAACCACGAGACGGCCGAACGAATTTAACCAATCAGACAACAGCTACTATTTAGGGTTTGGCAGGACTTACGAACTGTTTTTGGATTTTGTCTTCCACGGTCGCTAACAAAGATCTCTCAACAAGTGAAAATCTGCATAAAACACAGATATTTGACCTGCAGAATATATGCTTAGGGTTTTTTGATGACTCGGTTACTATTAGCTTATATTTCCGCGAGATTACATCCTGGGATATTGACAAAAAAACGTTTCGAGGTAAAAGTTCAAATGGTATGTGCTAATGTTAACTTGCACGATTTGGTAAGCTGTGTTCTGATTGGTCAATTTCGAAGGTTAGCTGACGTGACCTCCTACTAGGGTTTGCTAGACTCCAGGATATACGTTACGATAACTCTCCACTATACCCCGGATGCATCTACGGCTCGGCCCGATTTTATTACCTCCCTTGGTTGGCTTTTTATCCAATCAGATGTCTACGCTGGGAAGTTGAGCGTACCAATCACAACTCACTTTTGCTTTTTAAATTATCTAACCGATTAAACTTGTCAACACAATAATATCTTGTTGCAGATACTCTGAAAGAAGGAGTTCTTGCATATATTTTTTTAAGGTTTCAGACCTGTCAATGTGTCTGTATGTTTTCCCCCAAAATCTGAGTCGCACTGCGAACAAACTTTGGCGGCTGCGACCGCTATTTTTGTTGACACTGGCAAGCTCAGTTGTAACAGCGGCTTATCTGATTGCTGGCTCTGCATTTTCAAAGGGCCACAGATGCATCCAGGGTATAGTGGAGAGTTATCGTAACGTATACCCTGGAGATTATCGAGGATGTATAGCCGTGTAACGAAAAAATACTGAGCCTAAGTTTACTTAGACTGCCGCCCTGAAGTCATGAGAGTATGTGGAATTTTTTAAGAATATTGTAGATGTGAATAAGTGTGGAATAATGGAAGTTGAGAATGTTGAAGTGCAATTTGACAAAAAAAAATGTAATATTGTCATTTGGTGTGAAATAAATGTATAGTACAATAAAATGGTAAAAGTGTTTATTTTGTAGATACTTCCTTCTGTATCTTATAACGCAGATCAACTCTACTATCATGTTTATGTTTAGTTTCAACAATATTTAGGGCTGTTTTGGTAGCCTGAAAAGAATCAAGTGAGTGTCATAGCTACTGTAAGCTTATGTTTTTACAATTTATTATTTCTACTGGATAAGTTCCTGTGTCTATTTGATCCATAATCATAATTACTCACATATACTTTGAATTTATAAACCCAAAATGGACTGATGATATAGATTGTATGGTCAAAAACTAACTTTGATCCTGGTTTCACTAACACTAAAAACATTTCACTGGTGCCGGTGGGACCTAATAAAAAAATCAGGGGATCTATCATGGTTATTCACCACCAATGAACCAAGTAACTTCATGATTGCCATAAAAGTGTGCACATCTACGAGTAAACAAACAACATTTAGGCTTTGAACGTGCCGCGGAAATTCACCCCACAAACAAATCAGCCAATGAAATGTCCGGATCATTACGCACGCGATTAGCATCACGACGACGAAGTTCACCTTCCGTTCGATGCTTACGCAGGCTGGAGTGAACTGCCCACGGGAAAATGCCGACATTCATATCCTGATCGACACCTGCTTTTAGTCTAATAAGGTATTTTGCTATTAATGTCGCCAAAGAACAGTCCAAAACGCCCATCTTTCTTCAGAGTTACTCCCCCAATGTTTCTAAGCAATCTCTAGACTTGGAGGTCGTTTTGCATCAAAACTGAGTTTTTCACCTCCATCGTGAAAGATCTTTAGAGCTCTTCAGTGCGAAACAGTCTTTCGCCAGCTGATTTATACCATTGAGAGCCTCTATTGGGCATTACATTCTTTGCTTATCGTGCTGAATGTTTGACATTGTTCCTCGTCCCTTCCAGTGGCTTTGAACGATGAAACGATGTACAAATATGGCGGTCGCCGATGTTAATCATGACCTAAATTCAGTAAATATGGCAAAACTGTCAGTTTCATCACAGCAGTCGACATTGAATTGGAGAACAACAGGTGTTTAATCAAGTCTTCAAATCGTACACGACATGTCGTGCACTTAGCACGTTTGAAACGTTTTGGTGTTACATGATGTGCAGGTTACAATAAAATATTTTGCTAGGTCATTAGGCCTACTCACCTTTGACCAGTTATCACCATTATTTCTGACCTCCGACCAGTTACCACCTTTATTACTTATCTCCGACTAGTTATCGCCATTATTTCTGTTAATTGGAAATATAGCCGTACATTCTGTATGGCCAAGTTTGATTGTATTATGTGAATGGGAGCAAACGTGCACTGCAAACAGGGAATCACAACAGTGAATATAGATCTTTCCTATTGACTAACTGTACCAGTTACCTCCATCAACTGAATGTTGTGTACATGTGTATATCTAATCACTTACAACACATTTGTTGTACAGTTACATTCTTTAATTTCTGCTATCAGATTCACATAGTGTATTCATTATAATGTGAATAAGAAATGTTAATGTCAGCCAATGGATGCAAACCGATATGTAAAAATAATATTCCTTTGCAAGCTTGTCCTTAACAAAAGTGAAAAAGATGACAAACAAAATGTTCACAATTATTTCTGTAGTTGTCCAATGATGTCACTTTATTAATAAGCTTTGTATTTTTTAATTATCTGTTATAACTTTTGTTGTGTAACTATTTATCTCTTTGCTTCTGATAAATGTTAGAAGTGATACACATCAGTTTGGAGCCACAGATGATAAAAATAAACAATCTATTTTGTTGTCCATTCAATTTTTAGCATTGAGCCATTCTAATGTGTATTCTAGTGAATTATAAAACTGGCCCCACTGATAAGTTTGTTATTTACGCACCAAAATACACTTATTTTCATAAATAATTGGCTGTACTATTTTTTTGTGCAATTACAGATCCTCATGCCTTCAACAAGGAGCAGTTCACCACGAGTTGTGGATGACAAAATACAAACTTTGGCTCGAACTGACAGTTCAGACAGACGTGCAAACACCAAAAAGAGGAAAATAGACACCACAAAATTCACAAGATGCAGGGCCCCATTATCAACTGAAAAAACAAGGTCTTCAGCTCCTGACACACATCCCAAACATGACAAAGAAAAGAAAAACCCTGAGGGTGTATCCCCTGAAGAACATGTAGTGAAAAGAAGTCGAGGTCGTTCAAGAAGGCAGGAGTCTCCCATCATCACTGCAAAGATCCAAGATGAAGAAGCAGAAAGAAATAATGCTGCAGGAAATAAGAGGGCCGAGAAGCACAAAGATCTTATTGAGGTTGAGAAGACAGTTGAGAATCAGAAGGAAATGATGGAGCTGGAGAAGAAGTTTGAGAAGATTAAGGACCTGATTGAGGTGGGGAAGAAAGATGGCAGGAGTTTACAGATGGATACGAAGAAGAGTCCCGGGTAAGGAGCAGACAGAGGAGTCTGGCCAAAATGAGGCAAGGAATATTTCTGATTTTCATGCAAAAGAAACCAAGTCTCCTGTCACAAGGAAAAGAGGCAGAAAACCAACAATTGCTAAACTGCCTGCACCAGCTGAGGCAGTCTCAAGTCAGACTATGTCACATATGGGGGGTTCTGCATCTGAAAAGTCATGCAAGAGGCAGAAGACTGACAAGCTAGATGAGTCTAAACTAGGCAAGATCTCCACAGTGATTCAGCATGAAGCCAGAACTTCTGGGGAGGGGAGCTCTTCAGGTCTCTTGTCACCAAGAAGAAGTGGACGAGGTATGGTGCCCAATTCTCGCTTCAAGGACATGCATCTCTTCTCAACAGGAAAGAAGCATCAGACTTCATCTAGTAAAAAGGGTTTGTATATCAGTTGTATAAAGTTAATTGGACATTTTCTTGATTGTGCATATTTTGATGGGACATTCTTGCATGACAGTGTCTTAATAATGAACCTATCTGAAACCCTGGCACATACTGTAACATATTTACCTACTAAAATACTTCTGTTCTTTTATGTTCATATCAGTTTGACCTAATATCTGCACATGCAAGACATGAGCATGAGGCCATTGTAACTGAGAAGCAAAGCTCCTGCCATAGTCATATACAAGTTCTTGTGTTTTCTTCTCTGTTCTGCATGTAGTATTGAAAATGGTCATCTATCATCATTGTTGTCCCCCGCCGCAACGCGTACGTATGTCCCGATTCTTGTTAACGCGATATGTGATGAACTGTTGTACCCAATGTCTTCAAATTTGGTGACAGCCTACATTGGACGATTACCCAGACACCAGTCGATTTAGGTGACCTTGACCTTATTTTCAAGGTCACCACGACACTGACCACTTTTCAAACTGTTGTTAACGTGATGTCTCATGCACTGTTGTACCCAGTTTCTTCAAATTTGGTGACAGCCTACATTGGGGGATTACGCAGACACCAGTTTATTTTGGTGACCTTGACCATATCTTCAAGGTCACTGTGACACTTGCACGCTTTTAACTCTTGTTAACGCGATATTTCATGGACTGTTGTACCCAATGTCTTCAAATTTGGTGACAGCCAACACAGACACCAGTTTATTTAGGTGACCTTGACCTTATTTTCAAGGTCACCACGACACTTTGAACACTTTTCAAACTCTTCTTACCACGGCATCTCATGGACTGTTGTACCTAATGTCTGCCAAATTGGTGACAGCATACATTGTGGGATTACGCAGACACCAGTTGATTTTGGTGACCTTGACCTTATCTTCAAGGTCACCGCAACGCTTTTCACACTTAACTCTTGTTAACGTGATATCTCATGGACTGTTGTACCCAATGTCTTTGAATTTGGTGACAGTTTACATTGGGGTATTACACAGACACCATTTGGGTGACCTTGACCTTATCTTCAAGGTCGCCACGATACTTTGACCGCTTTTTAAAGGTGATATCTCATAAAACATTGCACCATTGTTTTCAAGTATGTTGACAGCCTACATTGGGTGATTATGCAGACGGGGCGGTTGGGTAGCCTAGTGGTTAAAGCGTTGGCTTGTCACGCCGAAGACCCGGGTTCGATTCCCTACATGGGCACAATATGTTAAGCCCATTTCTGGTGTCCCGCGCCGTGATATTGCTGGAATATTGCTAAAAGCGGCGTAAAACTAAACTCAGTCAGTCAGTCAGGATTATGCAGACACCAGTCATTTCAGGCATCTTGTATGTAACACACACACACACACCCCCAAAAAATAAGTAGTAAATATAGATATTCCATTCTTTAGCGGCGGGGGACATTGCCATATCAGTGGCAAACACTTGTTGTAGTTAATGCTATTATATACTTTTTATTCTATTTTTCCAGATACTTCAGCTGACACAGGTAAACAGAAAAGTAAAGGTAACAGCAATAAAACAGCTGAGCAGGACTTGCTTACAAGGAAGAAGGGCCAGTCAGGAGATATCAAGCTGAATATGGGCACTGATGAAGATATACCAGAAACAAAGTTTAGGGAAAAGCCAAAGTTAAAGACATTCTCCAGTGGAGCTACTTTGGCCATGGCCCAAGCTAAGGTTCAGTTGCAGACAGAGGCCAAACCAAGGGCTGTAGATAAGTTCAGGTGTGTTGTGTTTCATGGCAGTGTCCAAGAACTGTGTACTACTGCTCTACTGAGGGTTAAAGAGCATCACTTTTATGATTTTATGGATCTGTTACATGATCTGTTGCAAGGAAATCTCAATTTTCACTTTTTGACTGATTCAGTTCTTCACTCTCATTATTTTTTATTGTGTATTTCAGCATCAAAGAAATCCCAGAAGGGCTAGAAGTGACTGGTAGAGATGGTATCCCTGTGGTAGTATCAGCTGAGAACATAGTGCGGGTGCCCTTTCCTGACAAGTCTGCAAAGACAGACCCCGTAAATACTTCAAGCATTACTGTAGATGAGCCAGAGATGAACTCACTGCAGCCAATCATAATAAGATCAACTGTAATAATGGCATCAGACAGTGGACAAGCCCAGTCAGTCGCACAGCCCACCACTATAGGATCATCTGTATTAGAGGCAGCAGACAGTGGGCAAACCAAGTCAGTCACACCACCCCCAACAGGATCAATTATATCAGTGGCTTTAGACAGTGGGCAAGCCCAGTCAGTTGCACAGCCCACCACTTCGGGGTCAACTGTATTTGAGGCTTTAGACAGTGGTCAAACCAAGTCAGTCACACTGCCCACCACAACAGGATCAGTTATATTAGGGGAATCAGATAGTGGGCAAACCAAGTCAGTTACTATTGAACCTGAAACGTTAAAGGAGTTTGCAGATAGCAAACATAAGCAGGAATGCAGCAATCAGACAAATCTGAATGAGAATGATGAGTTGTCTCCCTTGACTGTTTCTGACGTATGTGTGATGGAGGAGGTGATTGAGTCAGATGTGATCTCTACAAACACTGAGCCGCCTCCTCTGTCACCCAACCAGAGCAGAAGAGAATGTACTGGCATGGTGGCTACAGTCACTTCTCTGGAACAGGACCAGACAAATGGAGAGGGGTCTAGCCTGGGGGAGGACAGTGTTGCCACTACACATGCCCAGTCAGTGGAGTCGGACATCGCCACAACACAGGTGTCAGACACCACCACATCACGGGACTCTGCCGCCACACCTGATAGTGCACAGTCAGGTAGCTACCTGTTCACTTACATTGCATAGCACTTGCCTGAATAGGAAGTATCACTACTATGTGTCCCAGTCCACCCAGCTGTGAATGGGTACCTCGTTAGGGTGAGAAAGCCACAATAACTCGGTGCGCCTAGTGGCTGCAAGAGTTGTATACTCCCCAGGGAGTTGAGATTGACATCCAATGATCGAGAGAAAAAATACCAGTGCCTTGAGCAAGCACTAATTGCCTGGATATGTGCGCTATAGAAATATTGTATAATAAAAAATAACTGTAAAAGTTTGAGATTAGGTGGATGCTGAGAGGAATTTGTTTCAGCGTTTTCAGACAAACATCAAATAGTTTCATGGACCTTCGTTTTTGTCGTCATGTTTGACCCAGGGGCTGATATTCCTCAGTAGCCGTAACTAATTGCTTTACATTCCAAATTTGTGTTAAGTTTCACAGTTTAGGGTTAAGAAATCCAAAATAGATCAGTTATGACTATATTTTCTTTAACTTAATACTTGCATAAATGGTGGGTTTATTGAATGCATGCAGGATTGAGATATCCTGCTGTCCACTGCGACAGTCAATGGTTTCAGATGTGTTGTCTCCTGCAGGTGTTGACCAGCATCTGGACAGCAGCAATGACATCTCTGCCAGTGAAGTGACCACAAGTAACAAATCCGCTGAGATGGCAGACAAGAACAAAAAGCTTCCCATCCAATTCCTCAAGGATGCTTCCTCCTCGACACCAGCCAAACCTGGGTACATCATTTCCTCCGCCAGGAAGAGTTCCTCTGTGGTAAAGATAGTTACCCTGTCTTCCATGTTGGAGGGTAACAGCAGCAAAGCTGTAGAGAAGGATGAGAAGTCAGGAACATTCAAGAAGCTAACTGATTCAGATAAATTACAGTCTTTGCCAAGTGAACCATCTCCTGTCCTGGACACCGAATCACGACCTACTGGAGTGGATATGATTCTTGAAGGCAGTAAGACTGTAGATGCAGCAGACATGGCATCATGTTTGGATTCCAATGAGACACATGACTCGCAGGCTGATGATTCCAATGAGACACATGACTCGCAGGCTGATGATTCCAATGAGACACATGACTCGCAGGCTGATGATTCCAAGTTCTCCTCAGCTTCAACCCAGACACCAATAGACAAGCAGGGAAAGAAGACCATAATACCAACTATTTACAAGGCATTGTCTGCACCCACCTTAAGGACTATTTCTGTGAACCTGGGCAAGCATGAGCTGCAGGAGGGTGAGGTGGGATACGAGAGCCCAGGGCCAGGGGGCAGACCCAAGAGTGAGGAGTACATTCTGGTGGAACTGCCAGAGGGAGCCACTATACAACAGAGATATGTCAAAAGTCGTACCAGGATTGATGTACGTACACAAATAGATTGTGAGACTATATGAGAAGACTGTTCAGTTTTTTTTGGTTTTGAAGGATGTTGACAATTTGTAAACAGTTTCACATGCTCTTTTTCCAACATGATAAAGATCATGTACCCTTAGCTTTTATGTAATTCGGTCTTTGTCAGGCTTAAAATTGATTGGATATTTTGTTGATGTCGTGCTGTGTTTCAGGACTCCATGTTCCTGTCCAGTGAGTCAATGTCCCAGGGAGTGTATCACTGCACCCTGTGTAACTACAAGACCAGCAAGAAACCCAACTGGTACAAGCACAAGAAGAAACACCTTGGTAGGACCACTTACTTAAGATGAGGAAGGGGTCACACATTAGGGCTGCAACGATTCGGTTCGATTCATTGAAAATCGAATCGACACCTTAGTTTCGATTTTCGATAACCATTATCACTATTTCAATTCAATATTGAATACCTGTTTAAATTATTTCCACACTCCATCTCGAGTTGTTTCGAGTGCTGAAATGTGGCGAAACAAGATTGGTTTACGCTGGGCTAATTATCCAATGAGAATTGTTGTTAGTAGACATCACCAAGTTGACGATGGATTTCACTCTAAAAACTGAATCTGAGAGTTATATTAAATCAGATATTTTTACTTGTATGAAGAATCAAATCGAAAATGATCGAGTCGAGGGTCCAATATCGAGAATCGAATCGAATTGAGATCTGGATATATCGTTGCAGCCCTATCACACATGATGACATGTTACCGAATAATAACATGAAAAACTAATTCCAGTAATTACTTTGAGAAGTCTATGAAATGTTGCTGTTGTTATTGTGCTGCAGGTCTGAGAGAGTATGCCTGCACCCAATGTGAGTACCGGGCAGCGACTAGCAGCAACTTGAAGCGACACATGGCCATACATGAAGATGTCAGGGCCTTCTCCTGCCTCAAGTGTAGCCTCACCTTTAGACAGAAGATTCACCTGGAAAGACATATCAAGTATAAACACGAGGTACTCAGCAGTTTGCACTGCTCTATACACACAATAATCGGGGCATGACAGGAGCACACCATCACTAATTATTCAGGTGTTACTTGAACACGACGATAAACCCCATTTTACATCAGGTTGTTGAATTTTCTTGTCTGTTGTAACTCAGGCTTAGACTGTAGACTATTACCTCTCAATATATAATCCTTCAGAAGTCCTGGCTTAAACACAGCAAGACCCTTCATCTTGATTTTATGGGGACAGTCGGCTAGCATGGTAATTATGTTTGTGTGTGTATCACAGTTTTACATCAGTTGGTAAATGTCCAAGCTGTGGTGTACCTATATGTAACTTGTATTTCAGGAGAAGCAGATCAAGTGTCCCTTCTGCGACTACATGTGTGCTAATGAGAACCCAGACCTGAAAGTCCACATCAAACGGAAACACTTGCCAGGGGACTCGCCAGATGGCACAATAAATACCTTCACCTGTGAGGAATGCAATTTGGTGACTGTCAGCAAACGGGATCTCAAGCAACATATGAAGTTCCACCGGAATGGTCCTGAGCTGAAACTGTTCTGTGAACATTGTAGCTTTGTTACTGACTGTGAGAGTCGGTTACGTAGACACGGGCTCATTCATACAAAAGAGAAACCCTTTCAATGTGGGCTTTGCTTGTATCGAGGATCACAGAAGGAACATGTACTACGCCACATGCGCTCACAGCATAATATAGATGTGTTACGAAGACGCCGTAAGCCTCTTTCAAATGAAAGCCCTCCTGTTGAGGGTAGTCAGGTTGCTATGAAAGATATATCCAAGCTTATAGATCGAACAGATTACAGTACTAAGGATAAAATATTTGCATGTAAACACTGCACTATGAAATTCTCAAAATTGATCAACTTGTATAAGCATTTGCATACTCAACACAGAAACATTATGCCGTCTGAGCGTGAAGATGACTTTTCATGTGTTGTTTGTGATTTCCATACAAACACTAAGAAGAACTTACTGGTGCACATGCGTAAACATAACATGATGGACCACACCCCTCCCTCCCACTTGTACTCGTGTGTGCTTTGTCGATACACCAACCCTAAACGCAGGAACCTTTTCCAGCACATGCGGAAGAAGCACCATATCGAGATCGTGATGAAAGACGATGGATCAACCAGTTGTTTTGTCACAGACACATCCAATATTAGGGAAGATGTGGACCAGAATGTTCTTACTGTTGGGGATGTTGTCACAGCAACAACTGCAGAGGCAGACTCGCATGATGATCCAAATGGTGTCCAAGGTGTTATATCTCTGGAGGATTTGGCCACCATAGTGACCCCTGAACCTAACCAAGAAGGCAACCTGATCATCGATGCCGGCCAGCTTCACAACATCTCCCTGAATTCCCTTGTCCAGCAACATGAAGCTGCGGAGGCCATTGAGGGACTCCAGGCTCTGGCAGGACAAATCAACCTGGCAGACAGTGTCATTGAGGAGGTGCAGGTCATGGATGACCCCGGGCTTGACCCTATCACCATGGAGACGACAGTGGAGACCAGTAAGGATGCTGAGGAGAAGTCAAGCATCCAACTGTCAGCAGAGCAGTTACTGCATCTGAGTAGTGGGGACTTTGTGGAGATAAATGGCGAGATGTACAAGGTGGAGATCACGGCAGAAGACAGTGCTACAGCTACACCGACCACCCTCAGGGCCATGGCGGCAGAAGCAGAGAACTCTCATTGTCAAGAACCATCATAGGAGGAACACTTCTAAATTATGATCCATCTAAGTACTAAATCCCATGCTAAAACAGAACCATAAGGATGTGGTACCCATGATAAATTCAGAGAGCATATTTCTCATTGGTCAATGTGAAGTCAGCTTGTTTTGTATAATTGTAAAATGAATTCATGTAAATAATTTATTGTATGGGTATGTTCTATGTACCAGTTGCACATTAATATCACTTCTGTAAATATGCTGTTACTGTACAAAGAGCAAAGCTTGAAAATGAATTAAGCATGAATGACGCCATATTAAAAACCAATGGTTTCCAGAACAGTCATTGTTAGTTTTTTAAACATGTACCAAGTTTGTTTTTGTTGTGTACAGATCAAGAAACTGTTGGTGCCTTACAATGTTGAGGAATCATTATGCAGCCACCCTTTCATATAAAATACACACTGCCATTTTTTATAAAGTGGTCAAATGTAACATATGTTATATTTGGGATTACACTTTCTTAGTAAAATACAGATTCTAGTACTTTTGGGGTTGAGTCCCATCCGGGATTCGAACCCAGTTGTCTGACTTCCATTTTTGTGGAAGCCGCGGTGGCTGAGCGGTCTAGGTGTCTGATGTTGTGTGCTGGTGATTAGGTGCCTGACTCTGAGGGTGTGGGTTTGAATCCTGGATGGGACTTAACCCCAAAAGTACTAGAATCTGTACTTTACTAAGAAAGAGTAATCCCAAATATAACATACATGTATATACACTCATTCATACCTCTTGGTAATTTTCTGACACAAGGTCAAGGTTACTAGTAGGAACTAGTATTGGTAATTATATATATTGAGGTAATATGATTTCATTTAAAGGGGATAGGTGTGGAAGTCTTTCCAAGTCACTTCATGGAAAGATTTCCGCACGTAACCCCTGTTTTTTTATCATTCTATGCCTAAGGATGGATGTGGTTTTTTTATATAGAAACCCTAACCCTAACCCTAAACCTAACATAATGCTAAATCTAAACCCCTAGAAATAATCATAACAAGCATTGTCACTAAGGTTACATAATCCCCCGCCACAAATGATCAAATCAAACTTAAAAAGTAATGAAAGTGAAGGTCGTAATTTAAGATGACGTTAAATGTAAACAAAAACATGACCAGTCAACCTCTTTTGATATCTTGCTCTGTAGTTGTTGAAACGCACAAATATTTTCAAGACTCACTTTGACCTTGACATGAATGTCTAAGTGTATGAAATATGCAAAAATAGTAATAAAGAAATTGATTATTGAAAAACATGCAAGGGAAGTCTTGAAAGTCTATGAAGAAAATCCAGCGAACTGTTCTTGAGATATCTCGCTGACTATCTTTACATGCAGGTTAACATGCTGAAATCTTTAAAGTGTCGTTGTGACCTTGAAAATTAAGGGAAGGCCACCAAAATCGACTGGACCCTGTGCCTTCCTTCGATGAAGCTTGATGTCGAATATGAAGAAATTCCAGAATACGGTTCTTGAGGTATCTCGCTGACAAGCTTAACATGCAACTTAGCATGCTGAAATCTTCAGAGTGTCGCCATGACCTTGAAAATTAGGTGACGGTCACCAAAATCGAATAGGCCCTGTGTCTTCCCTAGATAAAGCTTGGTGTTGAATATGAAGAAAATCCAGTGAACGGTTTTTGAGATATCTTACTGACAAGGGTAAAACGTTAAAGTCCCCTTGTGACCTTGAAATGAAGGTCAAGGTCACCAAACCTGACTGGGACCTTTCTTTTACTGTGATGAACCTAGGTACCAAATATGAAAAGAGTCCAGTGAAAGGTTCTTAAGATATTCCAATTTGTACATACAGATGGACGGAGCCTAAAACTATATCCCTCGCTTCACGCGGCGGGGGATTTTAAATAGAATATATTTCAAGCGGGGTTTATGGGCGGAACTGTTACCCACATGATAGCCATGGGTTTTTTCCAAAACAGGAAGCTTGTGATAAAATAAAAATTTAATAAGCTGGAAGGAGAGACTTTTCTGATTCTACATGTGAGATGTCAACTGATGTGGTAAAGTGAAAAAAAAGTTATTAATACTTTCTGATTTGGGTTTTAACAAACCTATTTTACTGGAAATGTTAGGAATATCCAATGATGAAATATAGTCATATCACGTATTTGCTGTCTGGAACCAATCTCGATATGGTCACTGCAGTGATGCAACATTATATTAGCTATCCTTGAAAATGGCCAACTGATGAAAGATGAAACTCACACACTGGAATTGAAATGTTTATTGTTTTCATGAAGACACAGAGGAGCAACAACAGCTGCAGTCAGTCAGGATATCATGGAGCATTTGTTAACTTGAACAGGCAGGACCAAAAAGCATATTCTTTGTAGAAATGAAATACAATTGTGAAGATGTTCTTCTAACAATGGCATAAATATATCCACAAAACATTACACCACAAGCATTTGATGTACAAAAATAAACCGATGTCTTTGGTACCAGTAAATTGGAAAAACTAACTTCCTCTTGTCTCGTTTGCCAATATCCTTTACTATACACTAATGTCTGACTGGTGGTGGGATACAGTTAGCTAAATAAATGATACATAGGTTATCCGGTTAAAATTCAGAAACATCACACAACCCAAAACAAACTATTCAGTTATAGCACTGCTATTACAGTAATACCTGTAAAACAAAGAGTGCAACTCTATCTCAGTCAGCTAAAGTAGCAGATGTACTTGGGGTTACCAGTTGACTCGATCTCATCCTCACAACCATGACCAGGAGGGAACCATTTCACCACACAAGCGACATTTTGCACTTATCTCCTTTCGTCCCAAGCATAGCATCTTGCAAGCAAGTGAAACATTTGGTCTCCAACAAGTTTGGAATGGATTCTCACCAACTCATTTTACTGTGTGATTTCAATGATATTAATGTGTAATGCCAGTGTATGAAATAAGACAAAAACCCAGCCAGACATCTGGGCTGGTAACTTAAAAATGTTACCAACCCAAAACAGATCAGACCAGACAATCCAAAGAAAATAACTCAATTTTAGTTACAATGAATAATGAGCCTGAGACATTATCTACTCCTACTCTTTAACAGTCTATTCACAACAGGCATTTTCAGAGAAATCCGACTCCGCGTTGGAGTCGAAAGGATGGAACATATTATCTAAACTTTTTACCAGACCATCGGGCTGGCTAGCCGTAAATTTAGACCGTCTGTCACAAATCTAGCCTGTCTCAGGCAGTCGGACAGGCCTTATTTCATACACTGGTAATGCTCAATACTGGAATGTTCGGGATAACACAGGGAAAATATGTAACACTTCCTTTCCTCAACACAACCATCATGTACATGGGTAACATATATTATAATCCATGATCAAATATAACTATGTACATTGACAACAATGGTAGAATGTATATGGGATGATCACTGGGCAACATCCAGATGGACATTTTGATTATGCCCATGATTTAACAGCTCTGCTAATTTGTAGGTTCAAGTATGAAAATATGAAGCATGTGGGTGCATATGAAATTCCAGTAACTTGAGTGAAGCATTATTGTGTTGTCATCTGCTGCTTACCATGCATGAAGTCAGTACTGGGTGACATCAAGTCTTCATGTAGTCAATGTAGTAAAACATCCAGCAACCATTACCTGCTCACCGTCAGGTTCAACAAACCCCTCCATCAATCCAACATCATTTCATAAAACTGAACAATGTACAATTCTTAAATAGTTAGGAATCCTCTTCACATGCGCCTGTGTGCAAAATGGTGAGAGCTGATAGAATATTTTTGTGTTGTGTTGCAATAAAAAAAATGACAAAACAGGCAATGTTGATCCTACTTCAGCTGACACGATATGCCTTGGGTGAGACAAGTTCTTATTCCACAACAGTTTGACAAGGTGAGCACCCAAGCTGTCAACCCATGCTCTGGCACATCTACAGGGAAAGAATGTATTACACAATGTACTACAGGGAAAGACTGCTAGAGAATGTACTAGACATAGCAAACTGATCTCAAACAATCACATGCTGCATATATTTAACAACAGGGAGAGTTCTATGTATATACACGCTTATTATTAATATGAATGAAATGTCAGTGTAGCTACTAACACCGTTATGAAACAAGTAATGCATAAATTTGTCCCACAAAACATGGTCACTTGAGCTGCTCAGCAGGCAACAGAGATCAGGTATAAAGAAATAATGTTGAGAGGTACTTGTTTACAATCTGGTCGTTTGGATGGGTATCAATCATAGGTTCACCTAAAGCTAACTGACAGCAGTTACTCCCAAACAAAGCATGTAGAGAATGACAGTAAAGACATTGTATACTGACTGACTGAATTTAGTTTTACGCCGCTTTTAGCAATATTCCAGCAATATCACGGAGGGGGACACCAGAAATGGGCTTAACACATTGTGCCCATGTGGGGAATCGAACCCGGGTCTTTGACGTGACGAGCCAACGCTTTAACCACTAGGCTACCCCACCGCCCCAGACATTGTATAAACATGTTAAACACAATAAGAAGATTTCCATGAAATCCTAAAATATTCAATGCATGATATAAATAAAATATAAACATTCTCATTTATAAAATCTATTTACTGAAATTGGTACTTGTCCATGTCCACTGTGAGAACTGTCTAACATGAATACAAGGAAAGCATTAAGTACCAATCATTCACCTGTGTATCATAGCATGATCAGTCAATGTACAGGATGAATACAACTGTCCCACAGAGAATTCATTGATGGAACTTTCCACACAACCAATAAGTACACCATCCCTGCTTATCCAGTGAATTATAGCACTTTTCTGTTATGACAAATGCTCTGGACTCATTCATATCTTCATCTGGGTTATTCCCAACCTTGCACAGTATCTCAGAAAACCTTCAGAATGCCATATATCACCAATGTTTGTTACCTGCAGAATCGCTCTGAATATGCAGGAAAAAAAGTTTCTGCCTCATGTTTATGGTTTAATATGATTGATATAGTAGATAAAAAAGTGAATGGGTCCACATTTTTTATCATAATAGAATGGAGGTACATACGAATAAACAGGACTGCATTTCTTTGTTTTGGCATTTGATTAAAACAGTATAGTAAGGGTTTTGCTGCTATTTTCAACAGTATTATGACAGTATCTTAGAATAACACTCATGATACCACCCTAGTCCATGCCCCAGAACATACAAGTCTACAAAGTTCTGGGAATTATCCTAAACCAATATATTTACAACATATGGGAGTAATATTTACACAATTATTTAAAAAATAAAATCATACATGATTTACTAATGTCCCAAACTAGTGTGATGATATGATGTAAAGGATGTCATCACATCAAGGCTGGGGTGAAGGTTGCCTGTCCCCTGCCCCTGCTGATTGTCGGCCCTGGGGAGACTGTTTGGGTGGGTGTTGCTTGTCCCCTGCCCCTGCTGATTGTTGGCCCTGGGGAGGCTGATGGTTGGCCTGGGGTGGGGGCTGATTGTCCACTGCCCCTGCTGATTGTCGGCCCTGGGGAGGCTGATGGTTGGCCTGGGGTGGGGGCTGATCGTCCCCTGCCCCTGCTGATTGTTGGCCCTGGGTGGGTTGCTTGTCCACTGCAGCCTGCGCCTTCTGTGAGGCCATCTGTTTTCTGATCTGCTGTATCTTGCCGCGGACAATATTCAGATGCTGTTTGATGTAGTCCTCCTCTGGGGCCAGGTTATGTGCATGGACCAGGCACTTCTCTGCTTTCAGCAGGTCACCCTGCTCCACATACACCACACACAGGTTGTGGCTGCCCTGAACGTGGTTCGGGTCAAGGGCCAGCACTGCCTCAAAGTTCTGTTGGAAGGAAACAAAACACTGGATGTATATACAAACTAAATAAAAGTGTTTGCCACTAATATGGTAATGTCTCCCACCGCTAAAGAAGAACGAAATACTTAAAACATATTCACTACATTTTATTTTTTGGTCACATACAAGAAATGACTGGTGTCTGCATAATCATCCAATGTAGGCTGTCAACACAATTAAAGGCATTGGGTGCAATAGTTTATGAGAGATCGCGGTTACACAAGTTTGAAAAGTAGTCAAAGTGTTGTAGTGATCTTGAAAATACGGTCAAGGTCACCCAAATCGACTGTTGTCTGCTTCTGCGTAATCCCCCAATGTAGGCTGTCACCAAATTTTAAGACATTGGGTACAACAGTTCATGAGATATCGCGTTAACAAGAGTTTGAAAAGTGCTCAAAGTGTCCTGGTGACCTTGAAGATAAGGTCAAGATCACTAAAATCGACTGGTGTCTGGGTAATCTCCCAACGTCGGCTGTCACCAAATTTGGAGACATTGGGTAAAACAGTTCATCAGATATCACGTTAACAAGAATCGGGATGTACGGACAGACGGACGCTGCTGAATACATATGTAATTTTTCAAGTAAAATTGATATTTTTATACTTATCCTGACTCATGATCTTTTGCTTATCTCCCTTTCCCTTGCGAATGGTAGTGGAACACTTGAATCCCTTGAAGTTCCCTAAGCGGATGCTAGCCTGTCCAAGACTGTGCGCATGGACTTTCAAACTAATACTTTTTCCTTAGACATGTTATCAACAAGTCAATGTGATAAAGGGTGAGATTTTCCAACTCAGCGCCTTTGAGGAACCGTTAGTTGCTGTGCTACAACGAGAGTCCCAAATTGGTGAATGCCTGAGATGTCTTCAGTGGCTATGTCTCGGAGGTAGTGGTTGGCAAACACTGTGTCCGACTTCTAAAAGCAGCCCTCCCAAATTGCTGGTATAGAGCAATTTCCGTGCAGAGCCAGTGTTGACACCAGTGCTCTGACTTCGTATGGGTTGGAAGCTCTAGGAGGTTCTAGTCCTGCTGCTTTATAGGCTCTCAATATGACGGCTCTCATCCAGAACAATATGGTCGTTCTTGAGACTTCTGCTGATGTCTCTGTTGATAATGGGATGTACAGGCGCTTGAAATTTCGTCTCCTTGTCTCAGTCTTTTGAAGATATATCTTCAGGGCTCTGACCGGACACAAGGATAGGTCTTCTATATCCTCTGGTCCGAGGATTGTAGATAGCGCTGGTACGTGGAACTGTCTATCTGGCTGACCAGGTAGTTGGTTCTTGGCAACTAAGTCCCATCTAAGTCCTAGATGAACTGCAGCATAATGCCCCATGTCGAATCTGGTTCGACGAAAGTCAAGCGCATGTATCTATGATATTTGAGATGCCGTAACTAGCGCAAGCAGGAACAGAGTCTTCTGTGTCAGCAGCTCGAGGGCAGTCTGGTCTAGAGGTTCTTAGGCATCACTCGTAAGATGACGTAGAATTACATTCAGATACCAGACCGGAGCTCTGAACTTCTTTTGCTGGTCCTCCAGTTTAAAAGATCTCAGCAGAGGAAGTAGTTCTGGTACTTTCGTCAACTTGATGCCTGTTTTCATGGTAATCACTGTATTGATGGCAGCGAGGTATGTAGATAATGTCGAACCTTTCAGATGTCTAGTCTGTCTAAGATGACACAGGTATTCCGCCACTTGACGATGAGTAGCTTTCATCACAATGAAGCCTTTCCGCCTTGCATAAGTCTCAAACTTCAGCCAATTGTCATCATACAGGTTACGAGTAGATCTGCGCTAGCGTTACTGCTTTGGCTGCCCTGGCGGAGTATCCTCTTTTCTTCAAACATGTTTTGATACGGTCCATGGTCCACACGTGTAGCTGGAACAGTGTTGGGTTCCCGTGGACTTGCTTGGTGTGCGGATGTATGAGTAGGTTTGGCCAATCTGGTAACTTGATTGTTGGACTTCCGAGATCTTCTATTAGGTCTAGCAACCATACTCTCGCTGGCCAGTATGGCGCGACCAAAGTCAGTTGTAGCGCCAGTGTCTGTTTGATCTTCAACAGTACCTTTGGTAGTAATATCAGCGGTGGAAACGCATACCACCGACTAAGCGTTTAGTCCTTCCCATGATATGTTCAGTGCATCTGTTGCCCAGGTTTGAGGATCTGGAACTGGTGAGACAAACGTCTGTAGTTGTTTGTTGAACCTCGTGGCAAACAGGTCTATGCATGGGGATCCTATTTCCCTTATGATGAGCCGAAATGCTTCTGGATGGAGCATCTATTCTGTAGGTGACGGGTGCAGTGGTCGGGAGAGAGTGTCTGCAAGCACGTTCTTGGCTCCGGGTATGTGACACGCCTTTATCCAGATGTTTGCCTCCTTCGTGATGTCAAACAACTGGAATGTGAGCTGTAGTAGGCTTGGTGATCTTGTAGATCCTTGCCGATTTATGGAGAATGCCACTGAAGAGTTGTCCGTGTGGACCATCATTATTCTGTTGATCAGCGAGCTCGACCATAGTTGTAAGGAGTTGATCACAGCTTTCATCTCCAGCAGATTGATGTGAAGATGCTGCTCTGTTATGGACCACTTCCTTAATGCAACTTGATTGTTTAGATGTGCACCCCAACCTTGTATCGATGTGTCTACGTAGAGATGTGTGTCGAAGGCTGGCTCTTGTAAATAGGTCCCTCCGCAGACGTTCGACCTGTAGGTCCACCAAAGTAGGTACCTCTTAACATTGTCTGGCAGCAAGATAGGCTCAACGCTGTCCAGATGTTTTGTCAGGAACCGTTGCAGCGGTTGTAACCTTCCTGTGCGAGTCAAGTCCTGCGCCGAGGTTAGTAGACCGAGTAGACATTGCGATGGTCGTAGTGTTAATGGAGACATGACTGCTTGTGGAATCATGGCTTGTATCTTGACCCAATGATCTTCTGGGACCACAATTCGATTCTGTGTTGTGATAATTCTTATTCCCAGCAATTGAAGATCTTGTTTGACTTCATCAGGTTCACTAGCCATCCTAGTTGCGTGAGAAACTTAATTGTGAAGTTCAGCTGCTGTCTTGAGTTGATTGGCACGTTGAAGAACCTGTATGTCGTCGTCCAGATAACCGGCACTGCATAGACCTCGATGCTGCAGATAGGTGCCGATAGGCTTGGTTATTCGCACGAATAATCATAGAGCCAATGATATTCTAAACGGTAGGACGTTCCATTGGAAGTGCTAACCTCTGATTGCAATGATGATACATAATTCTTCCCCTTATATACGCAGGCGATCTGTGTCGATCAGCATACATCGAAGCGTTGTCTATTTATAGCAAGGCTGGCTCCAGTGTAGCATCGCAGGGCACAGGTATTCATACCGACTTTTATCAGCGACAACTTCCAAAATAAACATCGTTTATGCTGCTGTCAAGGCTAGACATCTATTCGATTCCCATGATGATAACAGACCGTAGTTGTATACTGTTTCCAAGGCTGCCGATGAAGTATTCCACCGTACCACGGGTTTGTTTACAAGTCAGTAAACTTGCTGGTGCCTGCTCTGTCAGTGGGAGGCATTGTCTGACGTCGACCAGCTTCAAGCATGATGTCACCGGTATTGTAGCAAGTTGGCCTCCATAAAATCTGATGCAATGTGGTTGGTTGAGTAAAAGCGCGCGCGCGTAATTCTACGCCGCACATATAAACCTCTTGACTAAGGGTTGCTCCAAGTGTAAATCTTGTTCCGTGATCTAAATCACGTATTCCCATTGTGGATAATATAAGCCAGCATGACGAAGGAGACTGTTGAGACGACATATGTCTGTATGGATCTTGAAGAAATACCGATGTAGAATCTAGTTGATAGGATATAAATTCCTAATCCCCACGCTGAGTGACGAGTGTTAATAAGATCATCTGTACATCCGTTCAAGGATACTTGAAGGCGTTGTTAACCTTAAGCCCTTTACAAAGGTCGCCTTGAGGTTCTCCAGTACTTGAGATATTGGCTTCATAGGTGATATCATATTGGAGTCGAAGTCATCAGCGTATATGCAGTACGTCTGTTAGGTTGGAGTGAGTGAGTGAACGACAATATCCGCAGGCCATCTGCTACCTGCTATAAGACCTCAGCATCCGTGTAGATGAAGGGTTTCCTTTCATCAAGTAGGTTGTCGTCCGAAACTGAACCTATTACAGGTGTAAGGTTCGTGCAGGTTGTAGAGTTGTGCAGGCTGTAAACTGTAGAGATCGCCCATGTTGTAGATCTTTTTTTGAGTTATAAACTCTGACAAAACCTTCCTTGTTCATCATTGCTTCGTTTTATTCAGCCGTATGGTAATAGAGTCGACGTCAACATCCTGCCTGTTGATGTAAGGGTTTGTTAACCCTAGGGTTCGCGAACCCTGTAGATGTCTGCATTGCTGTCATCTGCCTGTAGATCTCAGAGTTCTCGAACCTTGTAGATGTTTGCAGCTTTCTCAAAGCTGTGCGTAGGTTAGAAGGTATCATGGATATAGGTTCAATAGGAGGAATAGTCACCGAGTCAAAGTTGTCATTACGCATCTTATAAGTGGAGACTTCATCTATATCCTTAGAAGGAGACTCCAATTTCAAACCATTGGCTATTCTGATTGGTAGAGCTATGCCTCCGCAAATCATCCTTCTGTGAACCTGTATCCCTTCGCGAACCTCTGTCTGAAGATTCCTCCCTTCGGGAACGTCTATCTTGAGAGTCCTCTCTTCGCGAACCTCTATCTGTGGATTCATCTCTTTGCGAACCTCAGTGATGTGAGCTTTCTCTTCGCGAACCTCTGTCACTAGATGTATCCCTTCGCGAACCTTGAGTGGCGTCTGTGAGAGATATCAGATCTCGATCTAGAGCGGCTAGATGTAGGAGATGGATCCTTCGATGTTCTCGAATGTTCGCAGATGTAAAACGGTGAGTAGGCATCTCATGTCTTCTATCCCCCTCCAAGATGATAAAGTCGTCA